TTAAGACTACCAAACTCCCCTTTTCATATTTTTTTGCTAATAAATTCTGCTAATAAAATAAAGCATCTGAAAATCTAAGTACAAGTACCCCTGTAAGCCTTGCTTCCTAGGAAAATATGTTTACTCTGGCCAAGTTAGCATACTTTCTAGAACTTCTTAGGTCATTCTCAGATAAATACTAGGATAGAAAATGATTTTCTAGTTAAAGAGATAGCATTGTCCATGGCGAGGACTAACCACACACGTAGGACATGGAATGAAAACATTCAGACCACTGGGGAGAAGTGCCCCTTGCACTCTCTAAGAGTGGCTACAGTTGCTGCTTGGGTGACTGCAAAAAACACATAAAACAGAGGAGAGAATGATTTAATGTTCAGCCATGTCTTCATGGAAGAGGGCATCGCATTGGACTTGTTCCAAACCACCTGAACAAATAGGCTCCAGTTAGGTTTATCTATTTGCACCAAAGTATAGGAAACAAAATTGAACCTTAAGATTGACGAAAAAAAGAGAAGACATTTCTGAAAAGAGGTTGGTAGTACTAATGTGAGAGAATGAAAAGTTAGAGATATTGGCTCAGTGGAAAGTATTGACTTCAAGATGAAGGAATACATGACGAGGGTACACTTCATAAGAGACACTTTTTTTTTTTTTTCTTGAGATGGAGTTTTGCTCTTGTTGTCCAGGCTGAAGTGCAATGGAGCAATCTCTGCTCACTGCAGCCTCCACTTCCTGGGTTCAAGTGATTCTCCTGACTCAGCCTCCCTAATAGCTGGGGTTATAGGCACTCGCCACCACACCCAGCTAATTTTTGTATTTTTAGTAGAGATAGGATTTTGCCATGTTGGTCAGGCTGGTCTTGAACTCCTGACCTTAGGTGATCCTCCTCCCTTGGCCTCCCAAAGTGCTGGAATTACAGGCATGAGCCACCACGCCTAACAAAGGGATACTTTTCTTGCTTCCTCTCCACTCTCTTCCTTTCCCTCCTTCCCTCCCTCCTTCTCTCCTTCCTTCCTTCCTTCCTTTTCTTTGTACACTTGTCACTTTTCCCCTAACCTGGCCTCCTTTTCTTTTTCTCTGACTCTCTGAAGAGAACCAATAATCCACCTCAACAGGACACATGCAGGAGCCAGATCCTAGCCTAATTTGCTGTACCAGCATTAATGGGATTTCTTACAGACCCTCATCGGGGCACAGATTCTTTATGCAATCTTTTCTCTCACTGTCCCATATTCTCCTTTTATTCTATTATCCATTCCCAGAATCTTCTAGTTTAATCCACTTCGAGTATCTGCAATTAACCAGGCTATACAGGCTCTTGTTTACAAAGGCACAAACACTAGAAGTCCTATCATAGTCGTTTGTAAACATGACAAGAAACAATGAGTTTTTAAAGACTTTAAAATAAATTATAGGTCAGCATTCATTACTGGTTAATTTGCTTTTTGGAAATTTATATTTAAAAGATGTTAAATCAGATTCATTGTTACCTTTTTTCCTAATCTCCAACGTGAACTTCTTATTTTGCCCTGTATTTCTGATGTCTAGAATAGTACCTGGGCTATAGTAAATACTGAATAAGTATTTAATAGAATTAAATTGAAATACATGATATTTAAAATATATTTTGTGATTTTATTTCTTATTCCATCTTCAAAAATAGAAATATCCTTAGTAGCAGCTCATAACAGGCAAAGTGAATTATATATTTGAGTTAATTTTCTAAGCAATTTGAGATTTTATCCCTCTCCTTCTGTCATAAAATGCAGTAAAAGAAAAGAATCCTCCTTAAATCCCACTCTATTTTTTTACATAGACTTCATTAAAGAAGAATTTAGCGTTCATACAGCTTGAGAGAGATAATACTTGGAATTTAGAAAATTGCAAATATAAGGCAAAGAAAATGTATGTATGAAAAAAATCGAATTAAAACTCGCATTCTATATAAGTTTAAAAACTATATACAGAGGCCATTTTTTTTTTTTTGGTCAATTTATGATGCGGGGACTCACTCTAGTTGCTAGGGAGACGTTTAGGGAATAAACATTTGATATAAGCACAGAGGAGAGATATTTGATGCTGCCCGCTGAGTTCATAGTGAGATGGAGTTTGCTCATGCCCAGCACTCTTCACAAAGGATGATAAAGGATAGAGTAGGGAGGAGGAAAGAGTAAGGTTATTCCAAGCAGAGGCACAGCATCCACAAAGTCCAGGAGCACTGTATACTCAGGAAAGTGCAACCAGCACTGTGCAATCAGATCTTGAAATTCTTGTAAGAGCCAAGCTTAGATGGAGGGACAGAGTAGTAAGTCAGAGTCTAATCCAGATTGTGTGATTGTTTGCCATGAAAAGGGAATTAAGGTCACAGGACTCCTTTTTACGACTTGCTCTCTGCATAGGACCCCACTTACCCATGCAGGCAGAGTGAAGAGCTGACAACACAGCCTGATGCCAGAAATTAGGGAGATGGTTTCTCGCTTAAATCTTTATCCCTTTGTCACCCTGCTTTTGTGCTTTACTCCGAACACTAGAGACTCATGAAAATCTTCTTTAGGACAAACAGCAATAAAATTTTCTAGAAAGGAAAATATTAAATTCCCTGCCTTTTAAATCATATCTCTTCCCAACGAATCAGAGAATTAAAGAGAGGAGTGATTTTAGAGGCTAGGGCACGCTCTGCAAAAGTCAGTCTAGGATAGGTGGCAGAGAATTGGTAAATTTGGAAAGTCCAGGGCTGCAATCGCCCAGGCAGGCAGGTACAGGAACCCGCGTCAAACGGACACAAGTAAACAGGAAAGACCCACTAAAAAATAAAGTCAAGGAGGGTTAAAAAACAAAACTTATTTAATAAGCATCCATTAATGTTTATTCTGAATATTGTGAAAAGTGCTGCGAATTATGCAAAATTGCATGGGACACAGCCACTGCCCTCAAATCACAGGCTCTCTGCACTCAGAAAAATATCTGGACACATAGCAACTAGAAGTCTCAATGATCAGGTGTCTAATTTGGTCTTATGGTTTTATTCCTCTGTTGTGCGAGCATCACTAACTTCTTTAGAGAAAGGACTGCACTGCTTTCTGCAGACTCAGTTTGGAGCAGGGAATAAGCCATGGAATCTGGCTGTGTTACTTCTCAGCTGTGCGGTCCTAACCAAACACCTTAGCTGTTCTTTGCCTCCGTTTTCTCATTTGTAACATGAGAGATATGAAAGCATCTCCCTCACAATGTTGTTGGAAGAGCTAAAAGTTTTAATGCTTACAAAGTCCTTAAAAGAGTTAGACCGGGGGCAGTGACTGATGTCTGTAATCTCAGGACTTTGGGTAGGCCAAGACAGGTGGATCACGAGGTCAGGAGTCCAAGACCAGCCTGGCCAAGATGCTGAAACCCCGTCTCTATTAAAAATACAAAAATTAGTCAGGAGTGGTGGCATGTGCCTGTAATCCCAGCTACTTGGGAGGCTGAGTCAGGAGAATCACTTTGAACCCGTGCCGCAGATTGCAGTGAGCCGAGATCACACCACTGGAATCCAGCCTGCATGAGAGAGCAAGACTCTTGTCTCGGAAACAAACAAACAAACAAAAAAAAAGAGTTTCTGCTATGTGGTAAGTCTGCAAAAGTGTTAGCTGTTATTACTTCATCCAGGAATTGCAAAAATAAAATGAAGCAACATGAATGAAGCTAGAAACTTTTTTATGTGACTGTCACAGAAATCGTTTAATAAAGAAAGATGAATTCAATTTTTTAAAAAGTCAGCCCCTTTCAAACATTGCACATGATCAAAATCTAATACCTTGCATAATAACTTTTTAAAAGATGATGTTTCGCCACTCAGGCCTTGACGTTTGCTGTAGTCATCTAAACAGTAAAACAAAAAATAGTAATAAAAAAACAGAACAAATAAATAAAACGAATATGAGCCCATGACAAATATCTACTTGGTAAGGAAGTTGAGTTGCTAGAAAATCATAGTTCAATTCCATTAATGTAACAATGTCTTATTATTGATTTTTATTTTATCTTGTGTTGAATTTTGCCCCAGGATAGTCATTACTTCTTATTTGATCAGCAGAAGAACCTTCCTTCCACTCGTAGCTCAGGAGGCCACACATGAGTCTAGAAACTCTGCCCAGTGATGATTAATTTGCTCAGCTACTTGTGTGTTGTGGGGAGATTCTGATAGAGATAACTTGGATCAAAAGCCCCTACCACTTCTGCAAACTGGATGAATCCGCACTCACCATTCTCCAAAAGAACATCTAAAAGTTCCCCAGACATGAAGAAGACTCTGGAGGAAAACATTCCTCTTTATCCTCTCCTTAACCCCTTACCTCTCTGAACGACTCAGCTCAACGTGGGGTAGATGGGGTAAGAGGTGCTAACATGTTGCTTGTGTAACCATTTACATGGATGACTGGAGCTCAGGATCGTTTTGAGTTGATTCCACATTTGCTGTTCTTTCTTTGGAGATCTGTTGAAAATAACAGCCAATGTTTGTAATGATTCATGATGAATCTCAGTAGCCTCCCTGCACTAGGAATCACAACAAGCTGTGTGGTGGTTAAAAATGACCTTCTTGACATGAGGCCCACTTTCCAAGGGGAATCTTTGATTAAAACTTGAGTCCAACACTGTCTGAGTCCCCAGGTAGGCTGCACAAGGCACAATGGGATTCACAAAATAGTCTTACGAATCAAAAGTGACTGAAAACTTGTAAGAATTTTGGAAACTAAGATAAAAAGAGGCCAGAACTGGTTTAGAAGCATTTAGTAAATATTCTAAGAGATAAAACAGGGACCAAATCCTAGGAAGTGAAATTGATAAAAACAAAAGCTTTTGTCAACAATTATGGTTATGTGCAGTGCAGAGAAGCATTGTTGTAAATGTTGTAAAGGTTTTCTATGTTTTATCTCCTGCTCTCTGTGGATGTTTACACTCATCATGGACACTGGTCATTCAAACTACCTGGGTCATTTTTATCTTCTGTATTCTCACTAAAGACCATGTGGAGACAAGACCTCAGACTGGGGCCCTGACTACTCTACACACATTTGACTTTAATCTTTCAGCCAACCCATTTTGAATTCTTAAAGGTAAGTTAGTTAATTATTTCTGTCAAGCTAGTCAAAATCTGCCTCTGCATAGCTCACTATACATGTGAATAGGCACATGCCTCATCATTATCTTATTTTTCTGTTTTCTTTGGCTTATTTTGGACTGTTATTCATAGCTACAATTATCAGCAGAGGAATAATGAACAAACACAAGTTACTCGGTAATGTTACTCAATTAGCAGATGGGTCACTTTCTCTGTGAACGATAAATAGGCCCTTCTCCATCATTTCGCAGGAAGACCGCCAATGGACCAGTCAGAAAACATGCCTTATTGTCTCAGCTCTGTCACCAACTGTGTGTGAATCAAGGCAAGTCTCTTCACCTTCCATTTTCCTCAGCTATAAAATGAAGTGTTACATTAGATGATCCGACAGGTTCTTTGCAACACCAGAACTCCACAATACTAAGCTCAAAGAGTAATTTGGGGCCATTTGTTTAGATGGAAGCTGGGAAGACTGAACAAACATTTCCTGAAGAGGGACTGACTGAGCACATTTTCCTGCAAGTTAACATTTACACAGTCAACCCCTTCAAGACTCTACTTGTCACAATAATTTCCAGTGATTGGTTAGTGTTTCCTCTTTGTTCTTGTCACTGTTAACATTACTAATTGTACTTTTTGTTGATTTTGCTACTATTATTATAAAAATAATACATGCACATTATAAAATGAAATGAAATTAAAGTTCATGAGATAATAGATTTTTTCCTCTAAATATAGAATAATAGTTTCTTGGCCATCTTTAAGGAATTCTCCCATTTATTTTACATAAACACACACATTCACACACTTTTTATGTATTCTTAAATACTTTTGTTACTTATTTGAGTTAACAATATATCTTTAAAAATTTTCCATATCAGAATATAGTTTATTATATTATTTTAAAATACTGGTCTATGTATGAATATTTTTTAATTCTTAGTTTTCCTTTGATGGATATTTGCTAATTTTTTCATTTTGCCTTTTATTTCATAAAATTGCATTGGATTTTCTATTGTAAAGATGAATCCGAAAACTCATTGTAGAATTACTCATAATGCAGTTACTGAGTCAAAATATGTACAATTTAAAATGGATTGTAGATTACTACAATTCCCTCCAAGTGATATAAGTTTATTCATCCACAGTCACATACTTGATAAGCCTGATGCTATCAAAAGTTTATAATTTTTACAATATGGCCGTACAGAAATTGTTTCATTGTTATTTACATTGAGTTTCTTTAATAGTGAATAGGATTTAACATCCTTTCTTATGTTTACATAATATTAGCATTCTCTTTTTCTATGAAACATTACATTTTTCTCATTTGATCTATCTTAACTAAGAATGGTATATTAAATCTACTATTATTAATGTTTGTATTCATAGTTTTTGCTTCATAAACATGTTTGCTGTTTTACTTAGTGCAGAGATATTCTTAAATGTTATATCGTTATTATGACTAATGCTTTTAAGCATGAAGGATGTTCATCTTTGACATGTTTGATGTGTTCTGAGTTGAACTTTATTTTGCCCGGTATTACAACTACTATTCCTGCATTATAAAAAGCATCATTTCCACCTGCTTACATGCATTTATCCATCCCTTTATTTCTTGCCTATTTTCTGGTATTACTTTCTTTGTTTGAGGTGTTTTGGTTTTTTATAATATGCATACAAAATATAGTTGGGTCTTGATATTTTGAGTCAAAATGTGAATCTTTTTTCTTCAGTAGATGAACTGAGCCCATTCACATTCGTTGTCATAACCAATATATTTAGTATCAACTCTCATAATATTTTAAAATTATGTGTATTACATTAACTATGCTTCTTTGTCTATTAAATGCTCATTCTCTGCAATTTTATCATTGTTATCATTAATATTATTGCACTTAAATCATTCACATTTTTGTTATATTAGTTACCTTTGTACTTACACCATTTTAAAAAATGCTCTTATCTCAATGTTTTCTCATTTAAATTTTTCCTATCTGTTTTGTCAGTTTTTAATAGTATAATTTACTTCCTACCTATTGCATGTAAACAATTAGTGAGCTTACTCTACTTTTTTTTTTGTTCTTCACTGTTCCTTCCCCTGTCACCTGTTAGGTTCATAATTTCTACTGTATTACAGTATATTACATTTGTATGTTAGTGTTCCACCCTCATTCTCACCTGTATTTTAATCTCCAATTATTTAACAACAGCCCTTTTGCTGAAGAAGTTTTCTTAGCTTTTTATTGATTGGATGAAATATATTCCTCAAGAACGGTTCATAAGTATAGAATTTCCAAAATTATTGTATAATTAAAACAGTTGTTTTCTGTAGCCTCTATACTTGAAAAATAGTTTGTCTAGATATAAATTTTAATTAGATTTGTTTTATTGAAATTTAAAAAAGAAAACTCTGCTACATTTCTGGCTTGCTTTGTATGTTTCTTTTTTTTTTTTTTAAGTTTGACATCAATCTAATTATTTTCAGTTTTATTTTCTTCTCGACACTTCTCCCCCACCCTCAATCCCCCAGCATAGGCCTTGAGAATTTATATTTTATCTTTAAAATCAATAGACCCACTGTAATATTTCTCATAACTGATTTGTCATAATAAATTTTCCCACATATCCAGTGAAATTTTATGATATATAAATTTGTGTTTTTTCGATGTCTGAAAGCTTTTCTTGAATTGTAATTTTAAATATAAGTCCTCTTCTATTGCTCCATTTTTCTGAATTTTTAATTTACACTGAGACCATAATGGGTTTGTGTTTATTTTCATTTGTTTGTCTTGTACTTTCTACTACAAAGAAAAAGTATCTTTGACTTAATTCATTGTATACAGAGAAAGAATGCAATGAAGAAAGCATTATTTACTCACGAATGTGTATTTCAAACTTAGAAACTTTAGGAAAGCATTTGCGGCTTGAAATAAGTTCCTAATTAGAGCATTGTTAGCCCTCATAAAATTAAATCTTTAGGCCTGGCAATGTGGCTCACACCTGTAATTCCAGAACTTTGGGAGGCCGAGGCGGGCAGATAATGAGGTCAAGAGATCGAGACCATCCTGGCCAACAAGATGAAACCCTGTCTTTACTACAGATACAAAAATTAGCTGAGCATGATGGTGCATGCCTGTAATCCCAGCTACTCGGGAGGCTGAGGCAAAAGAATCACTTGAACGAGTGAGTCGGAGGTTCCAGTGAGCTGAGATCGTGCCACTGCACTCAAGCCTGGTGACAGAGCAAGACCCTATCTCAAAAATCAATCAATCAATCAATCAATCAATCAATCAATCTGTAGTTTCTATACCTGAAATGAATTGGGACATAGTTACTGAGGAGTGTCCTGCTACTGAATGAATATAAACAACCTCTTGTCACTAAAGGTTTCCCAGCAAGAATTACCAGAAAAATACTCAGTCTTCTGGCTAAGATTGTTTGTAGTGTTGAACATGGTTTTTCCTGAATACATCAACAGAAATAGCTTAGAAAGCCTGGACCCCCGTAAAGTTCTTGGATCATATGAAGATGATGAGGCAATGGCAAAAGATGTAAATCTTCTTTTTTTTTTTTTAAATAGAGCCTGTTCCAGTGCATCTGTGCTCTTTGCCTAACTTGTTTACTAACTTGGGCACGAATCTCCAACTAGTCTTCTACTATTCTTAATAATTTTCCTTAAATAGTTTCTTAATGTTGAATATTTTACCTTTGCATTCTCTAGTCTGACATTCTTCTTGCCTATATGACCATTTCTGGGTTCATAAACACAGTCATGGAGTCAAGAAAATCACGTCAACTAATGATCAAAAGGTATTGTCCTACCTTTAATGAAGGACTACACGTTCATATTTTATCACTAAAGCCTCTTTCTTTTCTCTCCCCTGAGTCAGGGGATTTTTTTTTTTTTTTTTCTGTTGTTCCACTACAACAATCTGTAGAAATGAGAAACAATTGCAGAGAGAATAACACTGAGCAAAAGGAGATCTTTCTAACATCAGTACATGACAGTGCTCATTGTCATTTTCATTTTCCTCTCAGAAAATTTAGGAGAAGAAAATGCTCTCCATAGTAGATGACTTCAGGGACAACATTGGTGTAGCCCAGATTTATGTCTTAGCCAACAGCCGCCAGCACTTCTTTCCACAGAGTTCTGAAGAGGCTCATTAAGTTTCATGATCCTGCTAAACAAGTATCACTGACTTCAATCCCTCTCTATATTCTTGTTAACTTCTCTTATCCTTGTGGTATAAAGGCCTCAAAGAGTACATGTAAAATAAAACCAAACTAAATAGTACCTACCATTATAGATGGAAAATTATACCCTGGGAAACAGCAGCATGTTTTAAGGACAAAGGGTGAATAGTCTGGGCACTGGAGAATGTTCTTTCTGCTCATATCAGAATCAGGTTGTTATAAAGACTATGCTTCCCTGTAAACCTTTCACTAGGATATGAGTCCTACTCGGGGGAATCTGCACAGCGGAAGTGTGAAATACTTTTACACTTTTATAGAAACTCCCCGAAGAGGTTTGTTCTTACTGGGACACAGTTTATGCTTTGCTACCACTAACACTCTGTTTACTCACAATTCTACTAAACTTTTCTAACTGTATTACACTTCACTTGAATGGATTTATAAGAATCCATTCATATTTAAATTCTTTATACTTAACATAGTTTTTACAACCTTCCATGTGACTCATCAAAGCATGCATAGTGATACCTGTTTTCGTTAAGCTATTTTTCTGTCTTTAGATTTAGTTCTAGCCAAAGATTTTGGCCTATTTGACACAGGTGAAGGGGAAAAAAGGAGTAGAAAGAATAGGAAGAAAAAGTACTCTGTAAAAGGTAAGGCCAAGAAATATAATATCACAAATTTTCAAGTTAACATTCTTTATTACTCTACTACTGGACATGTGTGAGATAAGCAAGAATGGTTACTAACTTTTCCCAGACTATGTTTCTTA